GGCCAATCACGAACTCGCGGCGTCCGATCCATATCTAAGGACGAGAGACCGTGTGTGGCTCGTTCCGGGAGGAGATCGAGGGGGAGGGAGTCGGCTTCGCGGCGCACCTTGGGAGTCGGAAACGAGGCGGCGAGCAGCTGCGGCGGCGGCAGCCGATCGGGGCGGGGAAGAGGCGCGGCGGTGGAACGGCGGGAGGAGGAGGAGGAGGCGGCGCCGGCGCCGGCGGGTGCGAGGCGGAGGCGATCTCTCGTCGATGGGGCGAGTGCGCAGCACGACGAGACGACTAGTAGTTGTTCGCTTTGTTCGGCGGCCGTTTCCGTGTGTAGCTGTGTATGCCAGCCAGCCAAGGGGGATAGAGGGAGGGAGCTGTATGGGCCGGATGGGCTCGGCCCACTTGAAGCAGCCCATCATTGATCAGGGAACTGGGGGAAATTTGCATCCTCAAGTTCCAATCGCATCCCTTAACCGCAAAACCGCGTACGAGGCATCCCTAGTCCTAAGGGCATCAGCAATGTTTGCTATCCACATCGGTATTAGCGTGGGCCCAGATGACAGGCGGTAATAGAGGGAGACGTGCTCCACATTGCTTATATCTGTGAGTTGGCAGTAAGGTGGGGTCCATGGGGTAATAAAAATCGTAGCAAGGACAGAGCATGCATGCAACGGTTGGGAGAAGCAATGCTTTTGCTGTCAGAAAACACTGTGTACATGCATATTCTATTTCCTTGCTTCCGGCAGTAGGGGTATGACCCGGTTGTAGTTATGTACTAGCCCCACAATGCTTAATACCAGGTAGTAAGAGTGTATTTATTGCTTACTACCCGGTTTGCGAGCACATTGCTGATGCCCTAGTATTGAAACCGGTTTTGGGTAATGTGAGGTCTATTTGGCACCCACATGTAAAAAAAAAAATCCTTCCCCACTCTTCCCTCTTCTCTCTCCCACTCTTCTCGTGGTATTGAACGGTTTGTGTGAGTTTAGGGGTATACATTTCTGGTTTCGTGGTTAAGGGAAAAAAAATCTCGTTGTTAAGTTGAGAGACCTCCAGTGAACTTATTCCTTTTGCAAACAAAAAGCGTGCTGTTTTGGAGTCACGCAGGCCCAAGAGGCCCATGACAGGCTCACATAGAGGCAAAGCCAGCGCTATAGCTCAACTCGCAACGCAAACAAAAAACGGATTTGCTAAAATGATGTCGCCATATTTTATGGCTGATTACAGTCGAATTTCTGACCGTCAGATGTTGTTCAGTCCACTCAGGTCCTTAGTATTTCTCGGCTGTCATTACACAATTAATTAAAACTTAACATGCTTCATTAGTTTAAGCTTTTGATGGTTCTACTCATATGTATCTGCATAGTATATAAATATATGTAATCTACAATGCAAAATATAGACGTTGTCTTGCACTTACATTGTAATTACATTAAACTTACATATGTAATTTAGAAACTTACATATGTAATTTTGAAACTTACATTGTAAGTACACTAAAATTACATATGTAATTTAGGGACTTACAATGTAAATACATGGTGACTATTTTTTGGTGAAAAATATAGCGCCATAAGTATAGCTACTCCCAAAAAAAATGCACAATAAGTGCTAGATTGTAGAGGAGGTATACGTAAAGATATGTGCTAACCTTGTTACTATTGCTCGAAAGAAAATAAGTGGTGACAATTACTCACTCCGTTTCACAATGTAAGTCATTCTAGCATTTTTTACATTAATATTGATGTTAATAAATCTAAACATATATCGATCTAGATTCATTAACATCAATATGAATGTAGAAAATGGTGGAATGACTTACATTGTGAAACGGAGGAAGTAATTTTTACTGAAGCAACTTGTTGTCTAGTGGGGTGTAGGGGCCATAATCCCTGCCTCTGTCACGCCCGGAATTTCTATCCAAAATTCCAAACGCTTACATGTGTGTGAACCCTCGTCCAGGAATCAGCCGAGGCACACAATAACAAATTGATAATAGAGTACAATTATTACTCTAATTAATAAGCGAATAAAATGTCATTACAGAGGTAGATAGTTCCTCTCAATCAATAAATATCTAAGCAGCGGAAAATAAGATAAACGGCGCAGACGGCTCCACTCCACAGGCAGCTTGACCAAGGCTACACCTAATCCTCCACACCATCAGCTTCACTGTAGAACTCTTCCTCTGATGAATGATTGCAAGGTGAGTATATGACATACTCAGCAAGTCACGCAGCAAATATGCAAGTGCACAAGGATACCAAAGAATGGCATAGTATAGGGCTCATTTGCAAAAGCAGCGTTTAGCAAACATTTAAGAGAAGAAAAACAGTGGAGTAAATAATTAATCAATATTAATCCAACACTATACAACATACTCTGTTGCATAGGCCCAACCATTCTGAACAACCATCCCGGCTGAACAGTTCTATCTCCAAACTAGGAATGTACCATTCCAAACCAGGAGCTAATCAAATTATTACCAATTAAAGCACCTTTTATTATGGTGAGAAGTGTGAGACTAATCACGAAAGACATTGTTAGACCCGCCCATAACCGCGGGCACGGCTATTCGAATAGTTTTACTCTGATCAGAGGTGTACCACTGTACCCACAAGACACAACCCCACATCATGTCACCATGTGCCTCAACACCACCACGGTACCTCGGAAAGGAGTTGTGACAATACCCCTTGCATAACACAATCCACTACAGCGCACCTTTCCTGGATCATAATCACCCCCTTATAAACAAGGTATGGACTCCCCAGCGACCCCCGTGGGCTTATCTCCGCCACTTCTCAGTCTGGTGCCCCGCAATGAACCATGCTATATAAAAGATAAAGCCGTTGCCCATGCTGGCTTGTGGTTGGCACGGTTAATGTTTCACAACCGAAACTCGTGAACCGGTCCTTAATTGTCATGAGCACGACTCTCAAAACCATGTGCTCACAACCCACCATTATCAGGTTTTAGTTGGCACATTAATTAATTAACCAATCACGATTGACCATCGTGAATTATCATTAAGCCATCATGAAATAATAGTGAGTCATAAGTTATCCCAATAATGTGCTAATGTTTCTAAGCAGGGCTAAGCAATTATATCTAATACATCTAGTTGAACCAACATATAGAGCTCAACTAGTCAAATTATAATAACCCAAGGTATCAAGGAATAAAGTAATCAAGAACAAAAGGGCTATAACAAAGAATAGGTTAATTCCACCCAATGACATTCGAAAATAAATGCAATAGTTGAATAGAAACAATAGCTTTAAATAGGATCAACATGCTCAAAGGGTTGTTTGGAATCTGTGTGACTTGCCTTGCTGGCCTTGGAACTCTTCAAATTCTTCTGCTGCGAAAACGGACTCTCCGGAAATGTCGGAATCTAAACAGAAAAGAGCAAAAACACCAAAACAGCACATAAACAAGCATGAACAGTACATGTGGATATTTTTAACATGTAGATCTCAATTTTAGAAAAATTTAGAGACTTGGACCAACTAAATCCGAGCTAAGATGAATTAGTTATGAATTTTTGAAGATTAAATCGGATTAAAACACTTATATGGATTTTAATTGAATTATGACGCAATAATGAATTATTTTTGAAAAGAAAAAGGGGATTTATTGCGTCAGCGGCTAGGGTTTCGGTGGACCGGGCGCACGGGCGACGGTTCACGTGAACGGACGGCCGAGATCAATCCATCCAAAACGGACGGTCGAGATCGATCGGGTCCACGGCGGCTCACGGGAGAGGGCGACGATGACGTCAGCGATGACGTCACCACCGGCGGCGGCGGCTCGGCGGCTTGGGCGCGCATGCTCGCCGGCGAACGACGGCACGGCGGCGCGAACGGAAGGCACCAACGGGTAGAGCGCGACGCGGCGAACTCACCGGTGACCAAAGGAGCGGCGGAAGACCAACGGACGGCGACGGCGACGAGGTTGAAGCGGCGGCGGTCTTCGGGTCGACGGTGACGGCGGTGCTCCGACGATCTTCGGCGACGGCGAAGCGGCAGACAAGGACGGCGGCGACTTGGCGACCATGACGGCGGTCTTCCCGAGCAACGGCGATGACCGGAACGGCGGCAGCGCACGGCTGGAGCGACGGCGGCAACGACGGCGCTAGGTCACACGGCGCTAGAGCACTACGGACGACGAGAGGCGAAGGCGAGGGTGGCGGCGGGTAGAGGAGAGCTCGGGGAACCTTTTAAAGGGGCTCGGAGGCGGCGACGAAGGCCCACGGCGGCCGGCGACGAGAAGGAAACTTCGGGGTTCGAAGGAAAGAGGCCGATCCGAATCGAACTCGATTCCACGAACTTCCAAAACGAATTAGCCGATGTTTCCAAAGGGGAAAAGGTAGAGGAGATCCCTAGGATCATTTCCCCTCTATCAATTCGGCCGGAGAAGGAAAGGAGCGGCCGGATTTGGAAGGAAACGGCGGCGGCGCTCGGTTAGGGTTTCGGGCGGCGGCCGACGCGAGGAAGACGAAGACTGACAGACGGGCCCCACCTGTCAGCAGGCGGACGCGCGCGCGCGCGGCGGCGGACTGGGCCGGCTTGGGCCGAGGAGAGAGAGAAGAGGTTTGGGCCGACTTTCGGCCCAAAGCCAAAAGAGACTTTTTAAAACCTTTTTCAATTTAAATTATTCATGAAATGCAATTCCATTTATTAAAAATACTTCCTTAGCTCAAATAAATCCCAGAAAAATCTAGGAATTATAGAATTAAGCAAAGTATTTAATGAAATTTTATCTGGCCCCATTTTATATTGGAATTTATTAATTAAAATTAGATCTTCTCTTCTAGGCTTTTAAAATCATTTCTAAAAATTCCAATTAAACAACAATTTATATATTTTGAATTTTTCAGGATGTGACAGCCTCCACCGCGCACATTGACTACACGCGGATACGATGAACGGATAAGGCTGCGTTCTAAAGTGCATAGTTCAATGGGCTTGGATGGGCTACTGGAGTCGTCACTCTAGACTAATGTTGTCTTGGGCTCAATGCTTCCTGTAGATGTAGGTGTGGGAGTTTGACGCCGTTGTTGATGTGAACCTTACGGCAGCCGTCCGTCACCGGTCTTCTCCTTCCTCCCTATGTTGTGAAGTCGACGCAAGGGGCAGCTCACCCCATTGTCCAGCAGTTCACCCCATTCCCTTTCCCGTAAGAGTGCACAGCACGGACCGGCAGTCGTCGAGGCGGAGGAGGAGAGCATCGGCGTGCCGTGCGGAGCAGCGGCCGCTGCTCCTTGCCATAGGTGCCGTACAGCCGATCGACATCGACAACTCGTGAGCAGGCTCTTGGAGACCGCATCGAGGGGAATCGGATACCGCATCGAGTGCAAAGGGGCGCGGCGTGCGCAGTAGGCGGCAGCGATTCCAGCCGCGTCCGGGCTACGCGGCATTGATTCCTGCTGCGGTCATGCAGCCTTGAAGGTTGTTTTGATCAATCGCTGCGTCGATCTCGTGGAAGACAGTCTGCATCGACGAGGCATTGGGCATCGAGGCATCGATTCCTGCTGCGCTCGTGAAGCCTTGCAGGATGATTTGATCAATCGCTGCATCGATCTCATGCAATACAGTGGGTCTGCATCGACGACGGCCACATTCATTTCGAAAATGCGCCATTGAAGAGCCGAGGCCTCCTATTTTAGAGACCCCTCGGTCGCAAATGGCTGCAAGAGGAACCAAGAGGAAATTTGAGGCCGCTGAACCTCTGATCTGCTCCTCCCCTTCTTCGGCGTCGCCCATCGACGTCGGTAAGCTGGGAGAGGAGTCCGTGGAGCTGGAATTGAGCGAAGATTCGACCAAATCTTACCTCTTCGACGCTGCATCCGGAGCCACTGCACAAGACGATGTGGAGCTTGTCACTCGTGCACTCTCCTCCGTAGCTGCGAAGTCCCCCGAAGCCGTCCGGCAGTTCATCCGCCGCCTCACCCCGGAGAAGGTTGCACGCTCGCTGGACTAGGACCTCCTCGAATCGGACAAACTAAGAAAGGTAATACCTTGCTCTATTTGTGTTTCCTCATGATTATTTTGGTATGCTCAATTTGTGTGCTTAGATGGCCGGCGGAGGTCACACTCACTGGACTGAGGACGAACTCCATGCGTTCTTGGAAAGCTGCATGGAGGAAATAGAAGCTCGCAACATCACTTCGTCATGCCCCAAGACTCAGGGGTATGCCAACTTGCAGGCCAAGATGCTGTCCAAGGCAGGGAAGCATGTCAGCAAGCAGCAAGTGAAGAACTTCTGGGGTGCTTGTCGCCGCCGTTTCCAGACCTGGACATGGTTGGAATCGATGGCTACAGGGCTGGGAACAAACCCGTACACCGGCAGCATTGACGCCTCCCCAGAGTGGTGGGAAGCAATGGAAGGGGTTAGTCCTCCCTTTCTCTTCCTTTTTGCTTTACCGAAACCATGTGTTCAGACTTAGTTTCAGAACAAATAGTGCTGCAAATGTTAACTTAGTTTGACATGTAAATATTTAGATCTTAGTATTACATGCACATGGCAACTTAGTTTTGAAACTTGCTTTGAGATGCAAATGTTCAGATTTTAGCATTAGATGCACATGCCAACTTAGTTTTAGATGCAAATGTTCAAACCTAGTATTATGTACATGGCAACTTAGTTTTGCAAGTTACATAGTCACATAGATATTTTAAATAGCTGTATTCAATATTTCAGATGTAAGCTTGTCAATTTGTTAAGTTAGCAAGTGTGCTGTACAAATGTGCCTTTTTCCAATGAGAAGTACACATGGAGATTGCAATGATAAGTACACAAACATGTCAGTTGTCAAGTGTATTACATCCATTTAATTGGTAACCTCACAATGTGTTAGAATCATTGCAAAAGGGATTATTTCTTATTTACCATTTTTTAGCTGGGTCATCATGTTGATAAGTACAAATGGTGATGTGGACATCACTACCTCGGATACATACAACAATCCTCCAACGGTCATTCAAAAACCGATATCAAGAGCTCGTGCGCGACAATTAAATTTAGAGGTGAGCTCGTTCCTATGTTCTTCTTTGTATGAATTCAAGAATAGATTGCTACCGAATGATTATATTGTGATTAGTAACAATGGAGGGGACAAGGAGACACTTGGAGAAAGACTTAGAGCCATGGAGGATTATCGAGGTGTTCACAGTGAAATTTGGTAAGCCTGGAGTAGTCATCGGCTTAGAGTCAGCATCGGCTTCGAAGTCCTGAGATTAGCCGATGAGAGTTGTCAAGTCGTCAGTTGTCGGATTCTTGCTATATTCGGTTAAGGAAATTGATCTACTAAAGGAAGCTTATCCAGAAGAGACCGAGTTCAAAGAGAATGCGGCATGACAAGTTATCTATTAATTAGGAATAGTTTGTTAGTTTTCTTTTATCTTTAGGAAAGTGTGTTTAGTGTCCTATAAGGACTTTATCTTTTCCTTTTATCTTTAGGAAAGTTTCTTTCTTGTCCGACAAGGACTTGTATCAACCCATAGGTATAAATATGTACACTCGGGGTCTATGTAATCTATCTTCACGATCAATACAATTCGGCGCATCGCCACCTTTTACCTTTTCTACTTTATTTTATCGTCCGAAGGGACTTGGCACCTGATGCGGGGCTGCATCGGTGTTCGATCTCTGGCTAAGGGGTAAGTCCAATGTTCCGTCGGCCCAGGTAATTATATCGTTTACGTCGGTGTCGTTCAAGGCTGCATCAGTACATTCGACCTCTTGGATTGCTCTGGTTTGGATGATATATTTGCCTACCTATTTATCATATGTCTTTGTTAATCTAGTCTTAGCATATCAATTTAGCTCTATCGGCTGCTTCTCGTTTTAGGGTTTCTGCCGGTATCGGTTAAATCACATTGCTAGATTAGATTAGCTTAGACATCTACCACCCTGAAAACTCAGTCAACGGCTTGATTGTCTAGATATTATGTTTCTTTTCATACTTAGTGCTGCATCAGTTAAGTTTGATCTACTAAGTCGTGCTTAGAACCATAATCTCTAGCCTGCTTCTTGATTGCCAATAAGGGTTTCATCGGGGTTTTAGCCGGTGAGTTATCTGGACGTTGCATCGGCTCATAAGGATTGCATATACATATAAGTTGGATTTAGCCGATGACAACAAAGGTTTCACTGTTTAATCTAATCTTGTGGATTTCATGACATCGGACCTCCAGCCGATGTGTGCTTTAACCTTCGGATCGATACTTATTTATCATATCATTGCTAGCCGATTGGTTTATACTGGATTATATTGTTATTTTATTATATCATCATCGGCAGATTGCCAATATATCATTATCCACATTGGACATATAGCCAATTGCTTAATCCCTATCGCTATCGGCTGGTATCGGCATCGGCTATTATCGGCTATCGGCTGGAACTACTCCATCGGCTTGTCAGCCGATCGGCTATTTTGATCTACTATTTGCATATCTTGTCAGTTGCAGGATCAAACTAACTGGCACGCTCGCATCTCATCAATCTTTGGACATGCACAGGAGTTAAGCAGATCTCCCAGGCCGGTGTGTTCGATTTTTTCGTCAACACGAGGACGTCCAAGTCAAGGTGGAGGCCCAAACCAATTTGACCTCGGGTGCAATTCGGAGTCCAGGACCAGTCTGCACTAAAACAGGCGCCCAGGTCGCATACGTGCTCGCATTGGGGCGTTCTTTATATGGATGGAAAGCTAAGAAGATAACATTTCCAATGGTTCTGGTCCCACGCCCAAATTCTTTCCGAGTCAATGGGAATCGACCGAACAAGTTGACGTCCAGAATCTGTCCCGGTGCTGCGTCACCGTATTTGGGCCTTTGGGCCATGTATCGTGTTGGAACCCATTAGGGTTGTATCGAGAGGGGGTTGCACGACCCTAAACTCTATATATCAGTACCGCCGCCATCTTTAGGTTTTTGGGTTTTGCTTAGATTATTCTGTCGAGAGCAGTTTCGCTGTTAGATCGGTTTGTAAGACCCCAACTCGTGAGCTTAATCATTCATATGCAATTTTGGTTGTTTTCTATCTCGTTCTTGTTTGTGTTCTTCGATTGGCAAACAGGGATTAGCCTTCTCGGTGAGGTCATCCGCGTTTCGACAAGGGTGATAACCAGAGGAGATGTGGTGCTGCGATTGCGGGGCTCAAGAGCGTGCGCGTTCAAGAAGCCGGATCGATTTGTGTCGCGACTCCACCCAAATCGTTGTTTATCAGAACCTTTCGGAAGATCAGGAACCCTAGTGCACATCAAATGGATTCACATATGCATGCTTGGGATTCTGTCAGGACATAATTTGTAGTGAGCAATTATATTGTTAAGAACTTAGACATCCCTTTGATGATACCTTTGGTAATTTATAAAATGAAAGATGATATAGTAGTACCAACTAGAGTACAAGTGTTGTTAACAACATTCCAAAAGTTGCTAATATATTTCAATAGTACATACCTCTACTTTCATCTCATTAACTGAACACCACCTTCACTTCTCACTGCATGTATAATGTTAAGTACCACCTTAGTGAAATAAAACAATGGCTGTAACAACTACATTTGCTTACCACCAAAAAAATTGATTGTTATACCCAAATACTCAGTTATATTGTCCTTGCTGATTTTACAATACTTTGCGCTAAGCAATATTTGGTCAAATCTGTAATATGCATATGCACACTTTGATGTTTTAAATACTCTGAAAGCATTTTCCATATTAATTTGGCAGCTAAATGGACTTTGCAGTAGTTATATTCAGTGTTGTGAATGTATGACATGTGGTATAATTTAGTGAATCATATGAGACTTGTTCACAGCTGTGGTGAGTGCTTGTGGAGTAGTACTACTGCCTGGATAACACATGACATTTGCATATTTACATGAAGCTGAAGCAAATTGAAATTAATACTTCCCTGCTGATGTTGTTTTATTAATATTGCAATAGCAATCGTAATTATCTGAAAATGTCGGCTTGTTATTTAACTTACCACTTGATAATAATTGCAACCACTTGATAAGCTATGTTGTTGCTAATATTATGGGCAGTTAGGTTGCAGCCATTCCATGTGTGCTTGCTGTGTGCATCGTACTGTACTTTATGCAATACATATATGCCTGTGTGCTTGTAGTTTGGTAGCTTCTGTACTTTATGCAATACATATATGCATGTGTACTTCTTGTTCACTCTAGTTTGTTTCTCTTTTGCTGAAATGCAGATGAGAAAATGTGCTAGGTCTTTCAGGAATGCACCTCTCAGATTCATTGCTGAGCACCATGCTGTCTTCAGGGGGAGGTGTGTTGTCGGCAACCGTTCAAGTGTCCCAGGCACTGAACTGGAACAGCAGTTGCAGCCAGCCAACGCAGAACTCCTCGATGTTGAGGACCTTGTCGACGTGCCAGATGCGCCACAGTCACCTGATCCACCATCACGGTCAAGGCCAACCAGGGGTAGGGGCAAAAGGGTGGCAACACCGGCTAGTGGGTCTAGGGGTTCCAAAAGGACCCGCAGTGACTCCACCGGTGAGGCTTTGCATAGGCTCGCTGATCTGAGGGTTAAGTCTAGTGAGAGTAAGGCACAAAAGCAGCGAGAACGTGAGGCTATGAGTGCTCGTGCATGCATTGAGTTGGTCAAGTCTGATGGGCACTTATTTAGCTCAGATGTTTACCACATGGGGGTTTTGCTCTTTAGTGACCCATACTTTTGCGAGTTCTTCCTAGGTGATGCCATTACCCCGGAGATGCGTGAGTACTACATTAGGTTCCACTATGCCATGAAGTTTCCTAATGGTGGAGGATTTTTCCCTCCACCATCTTGCTCAGGGGGTTGGTTTCCACCTGGTGGTACACGGTTTGATGGGGGTGATGGGGGGACCCTGGGGATGATGGTGCTGGGGGAGCCGACGGAGCTGCAGTGTGTTGAGTGGGTATGGTGCTTCTGCTAGTGCTATTGTGTGCTGTTGTGTGCTAGCTGTGTGTTATGGCCGTGCTGTGTGTGCCTCTGTGAGTTGCTACTGAGTGACTGCTGCTAAGTTTTGCTGCTGCTGGTGCGACTGAAGCTGAAGTTGGTTGCTCTGCCTTTTTATTCCATCGTTATGTTAGTGAAATAATGTGTTCGATTTTTAAATCGAACATAGTTATGTTATATGCAGGTTGATTTGTATTGATGTAAGAACAATTCGGCACACGTTGCGTATTAATCTAAGTTGGTTGTTCTAATGGAATAATTTATTTTACACTCACTGCTAATGTGCAATATTTTTTGTTAAGTTATAAACTTGTGTTTCATTTATTGTACAGTCACTGCACCTCTCAGATTATTATCTAACTTTTATTTTCATATTGTGCATTTTTTGTTCCTTTCACATACACTAACGACAACATTATCTCAGTTTGCACTTGTATTACACTGTTTATGTTATGAACATCAGAGATATGATTTTTTTTGTACATGCTACAACAACTTTCCATTTCATGACCTACCAAGATGAGCACCACCTCAGGGAACACTTCAGGGTCTAAAGATGGATACACAAGCGAGGAGGATGAAACAATTATGGAGTTGTTGGCTGATGCTTTTCAAAGGAATGTAAGCACACGAGCACCAAGACGGGTACCTCAGCAGTCGGGCATGCAATGGGTTATGGAAACAATGAACAACCCAGAGCAGTGCCATAACATGTTTCGGATGAGAGCGGACCAGATTCACGCTCTCTACAATCTCCTTGTGAGCAGGTAGGTACCACTTGCATGGTACCTATGAGGTATGTCCTATGGAAGCAATTGGAATGTTTTTGTACGCCATGGCAGGTGGTCATTCCGTGAGGAGCGTCAACAATAGGATGGTTCGTTGCAACGCTACTATGAATAGATATTTTCACAGGGTGTTGAATGCTGTCAATGAGATGGCAGCCGACATCATCAAACAAGTTGATCCAAACAACTTCCCGCAGCATTACCGGCTTGCCCAAGATGATGCATTCCTTCCCTTTGCTGGTGTTGTAGGAGCAATAGATGGGACGCACGTACCGCTTCTTGTGCGTAGAGATAATTCAATTCCACATAGGAACCGCCACAATGAAACTTCTAGAAATGTGCTAACCATCATTGGTTGGGACGAACGAGTTATGTTTGTAGATGTTGGTTGGCCTGGTTCAGTACACGACCAAAGAGTTCTATCGGAGGCAGTTCGCCGCTATCCATTTGCTTTTCCACGGTTGCCATGGGGTTAGTACAGTGATCTAACTAAGCTTGTGTTATAGTTTTCATAATTACAAATTTTCATTTGTGTCGACTAGTAACACTTCCAATTATTTATATTTCAGGGAAATATCTGCTTGTTGACTCTGGCTATCCCAGTAGGTACGGTTTCCTACCACCGTAAACAAATGTTAGATACCATGTTGATGATTTCGAAGGCAACGAAGCTCCACCACCGGTTGGAAAGGAAGAGACTTTCAACTACATGCACTCTGCCATGCGTAATACAGTTGAAAGAGATTTTGGGGTGATCAAGAGTCAGTGGAGAGTCCTGCGGGGAATTCCTTTATATGGAGAGGAAGCTGCTCAGACGAAGATTATAGTTGCTACTTTTGCTCTCCACAACTTTATGACTGATAGTAATGACCCCCACTTCATGACACAGAACCCTTTGTACAACGGGTACCCCCGTGTGCCACAGGCGCCACCCCTCCGCAGTTGGTACGACTCCCCCCAACAGCGAGGAAGCTATGTCGACTTATCGTGAGACTATTGCGAATCAGATGTACCACGGGTAGAAGTGTATGTTCAATATTTATTTTAACATCCATTTTCGAAATGGATATGTATCCTACTATTTATGTCTCCTTCCTTCCATCGAAAACTATTTATGTATCGGACGCATTTATGTGCAATATTTGTTTCACTTTAATTGTTGTGCTTTGTCAGCAGAAAAAAAAAACTCAAATTTCGCCAGGCCGTTAGCTAATCCTAATCTGCAGCATTAATTTCTAAGTGCAATGCGCGTGTGCTTCTAGCTTTAATTTTCTTTTCCCCACCGTTATCTCCTCCATACGTGACGCCGTGCCTGCGACAGCCATCCATCAGGTCCAACAGTCGCCGTCCCTCAGCTCCAACGGCAACCGTCATCAGCCGCTATTCAATTTTTCAAAGTGTGCAGCTGCTGCAAGCCCTGACATGCGGCTGCAGTAATTTAGATTATTTCTGATACTCCACGCAACACTTTGGAATGCAGCCTAATTCCATGATATATGGGCGTTTGATTTACTTGGGGCGAAGAAGAGTATTCTATCCTCATTTTATTTTTTTTCCCTTAGTGACCTTTTGTGTTTCTCGAAATATAATTTTGCCACTACTTTGTAGCTTATATAACAATGATTTTTCTATATTGTACTGTTATTAAAGCATATCCAAAAACAAGTATAGTAAATATAAATTTCATACAGTCAGACATACTGGTGGTCAAACTTTTGTAAGTTTGGTCGTATAATTTCTCAAAGGACTACCTTTAGCTAATTGCAGCCATGCTCTCTCATTAGCATCCACTAACATGCATGAATAGCTGTTTTAATTAGCTTATGCATTACCATTCCAACTATATTTCTCTAATTAATCCTAGCAGGGTGGATCTGGCAATGGAGCTAGAGCTGATGTTGCTAGGAAGATGAAGGAGGTTGATCATCTATTGGCAAAATTAGAAAATGAGGGAGTGGAGATAAATGGCAAGATAGCTAGTATTATTGAAGATTAGGTAGCTAGAATTCAAGCTGAAGCATCGAGGTAATTAATTACTTGGAGGCGCTACAACTTATTTCATTTTTACTGATCAAATGAAACGATCCTAACATTCATGCATTACGCACATCCTTTTGATAGGGGGCACGTCAATAACACAAGAGAGAATGTGAAGACGATAGTGCACGCTCTTACATGTATTAGTGGTGGTTTCGTCTTGGGAGCAGAATGGTGCAAATGTGCCCTCCGTGCGGCAGTGTGCAAGAAAATCTTTTTTGGTTAAATAGCCTAGGGCTTGTAGGTCAACTCTGTTTATGGTATGTACGACCAAGTTAGTAATCTTGGTAAAACATTCTAAGCTAACTATGGTATGCAAAATCTATTTATGTTGTCTGATAATTGTTGTGCTATTTATGCTAGTTGGTTTTCATTCTTCTAAACCCATATTGGTTTAGAGTTTTCTAGATCAAGATGGTTGACGACTCCGGTTAACATCGTAGGGCTTTCGGTGATTCATCATGGTGATCGGAAAACGTGTCAACCATAGTTACTCACTCAGGCATAAAATATAGGAGCAACTTACTATTAGATTGGACATGAATTACACTACACAAACGACCGCTTCATCCGACTGAGACGTACGACGATGCATCTCCAACGTAGATTAATCCCTTGCCCATAGCCGCATGCCCTGATAATAGTACGAGATGCATTGGATGTCGTATGTATAGCAACCGAGTTAAACAAATTCATGTTAGTCAATTCAGTTGTAGGTTTGCTTGTGGGATGGACGGGTAGCTTTCTGCGGAAGATGGGTAGGATTTTCGGCTTATGTTGCGTTGTGGGCTTCTGAACACTCAGGCCCACATTGTTGTAGTGTGCTGTTCGTGGAATAAGTTCACTTTAGGTTCTTCATCTAGACGTCGAGTTTGACTTAATTACATTCTTCAACCACAAAACCGGGGTATAACACATCCCTCATCTTCCTAAACGATGCAAATGTAGTCTCAATATTGAAGGTGGTTTTAGCTGATGGGGTGCTGATGTGACCACATAAGCAAACATAAAAAATAACCACATTTTTAGACCAGAGCGGCGGCTGGTGGAATAGCACTTGGCACCGACGGCCTCGATTTTGCATGGCACGGGGTGGGGCAGATCAGCGTGGCGGGCTGCCAACTCCCCGACGGCGATGCAAACCGGCGGATTGTGGGAGTGGAAGCGACGATGGCTGTGGTCAAGAAATCGGAGGGATCATCGGCGCAACAAGCCTCTGTCGCGTTGATTTGGAGTTTATGGTGTCCTCTTCATCCTCTCCGGCACCATCCTTCTCCTCTCTGCCGACCTGCTGCTTGCTGGATCTAGCAGCACCCATCTCATCGTCTTCACCGCTGCGGGGGAGAACGGAGATGGGTAGTAGGGAGCAACGCTTCATCGTCTTCACTGCCACGGGGCAGACATACAGTGGCCATGGTCGCACCCCAATGCTCAACCACATCGTCGTCACCACTTTCAACATCGATGCGCAACAGTCATCCTTCCCTCCTCATCCCTCTCCGCTCCTATGTCAGCATCAAACTCCCTCTCCGGTGGCATGACGACGAAAACAGCCTACAAGGGACAGAGGGAGGCACCACCACTACCACCTCCTCAACCTCCCCTACCATGGCAGCAAGGGACGAGGTTCGGCGGTGGCGGCACGGCACCTGTGGCCACCTCCCACGCCACAGACGCCATAGACGCGGTTGCCCCCACCATAGCCGCCTTCACCACTGTCGTCATGGTCACCTTCGCCGTAGCGGCCTCCCCTGCCACCGTGCGCCGCTCCCGGCCACCGCGCACCCCTCCTTTTCCCACCGGCTGCTTCCCTGCCATGCCTGGATAGAGGAGAGGGGAGTAGGGGAGAGAGATGAAGAGAGGGGAGATAGGGAGAGAGGAGGAATAAGAGGAGGGGGTGATAATGACATGTGGGGCCCACGTGGCCCCCACCATTTTTAATTTTTTTTGTGGAACTGGCATGTGGGCCCACAGTTTTTATTATTTTCCAAATTAAATTGCCACGTAAGCGCCACATCCAATGATGATTGATTCAAATTAGCCACGTCAGCTTATTTTGCATCGGTTTTGACAGTTGAGGGACCTGTTGTATCTGGTTTTTCAATTGAAGGACTTACGAAAATCGGATTCGTCGACAAGTTAAGGGACCTCCAATGAACTTATTCCGCTGTTGGTCGTCTGTCGTTGGGGGTCACGCAGGTCCAAGAGGCCGGATGGCCTAGCCCATGGATCTCTCAGTCTCGGACAGGCAAAGGCAACAAATTAAGTTGAGAGAACCCAAACCCTAACCGGCGCGCCCCCCTCCTCCAGATTCCTCCGGCGTCTCGGTGTCATGGCGATGCACTCTCATGATTCGCCGCCGGCGAACTCCCTTCCTGATCCCACCCCTGATCAGGTACTAGTTCCGCTCTTGTTCGATCCATCTACCTACTATAGCTAGCTA